CAAATCACTATCGGGATTCTTTCTAGCACTTACGGCTACGAAAAAAAATTCAAATTACAGCCGGTTGCACAATTTTGGCAGTCACTGTATATACGATTTGATTATTATTTTTAGTGCTCTTCTCATTGATCCACGTACAACACTTTTAACACCAGATTTTGAAATAACTTGTCAAAAATTTGATATTAATATAATAACAACTGATTTAGATTCTTATATGACAAATATATTATCACCATTATTTGCATTATTTGATAGACAATGGTCTCAAGCAAATCGTATTGATAAAATGAATCTTAAATCAGCAGGATATATACAACGTATAATTCATACAATGTGGTTCACACTTCGTACACTTAAACAAAATGATCAAATATTTAAAATATTTAATCAAACAATTTTATGGAAAAATAATGATCAACAATATTTACAATCATTACAACCACCAACACAAAATTTATTACCAAAGAAAAAAAAGAAAAAAACTCTCGTTAAAATAGGTAAATCAACATATTGCTGGATATGATCGTTATATTGAAACACAGCCTATCTATACTAGTAAGGTAGATCGTTGTTGATGTCATCTTCTCTTATCAAATCCCAAGGTTTTGAGTTTGTTACGCTCTTATGCATTCTAGTAAAATTTCTTCGTAATAAATTTTATAGTTCGAATTTATCCATATTCTGTTGTTTGAATCTTCTGTGCTACACAATTCAGCATTCCAATAGGATATTTTTTATTCTGATCTAGAAAAAACTCTTCCAGTATTTATTCGTATTACATCTAACAAAGTTCTATAATACTCGTTTTTTGCTTCATTTAGTCGACGACTAGCACATTTTTAGATAATCTCTATTGACATATGTTCTACTTGATATGTTTTATAAGACAACTTGCTTAAAACGATAGAATATTTAACTATAATCTTTAGTTTCAATCGGCACAACTTTTTTTCTTGTAGTCCGAGATCCAATCTCAGAGACTTTTTTTTCCTGTGGTCCTAGTCCGAGTATTAGTAAAATGCATTCTGATCAATTCTAAATATGCCAGTCCCACTCTGAGCCAAAATCTCAATAAAATAAATGTTTGGAAAATGAAGTCAAATGTAGCTCTTCTACATATTTTGAACTGACTAGAGCCATCAGATATTGTATCACAACTTCATCTAACGTCATTTTTCCAAACATTTATTTATTTGAGTTTTTGGCTTAGAATGAAGCCTCGTACACTTAGAGTTTTAAGCGCTGTCGATTGCTATAAGTCCCAAGTAAAACAGTGTTCATAATGTATTTTACTAATACTCTTTTCATCCCAGCAAACCTTCAAGCTTTAGTCTGGTACATCTTTAGTATCAATTAGATCAAAAATAAATTCTGTTTATAAATGAATTTAATCTTTTATGCATTGAATGAAATGATTGTATTACATAATAATTATCTTTATATTTTAAGGTAGTAAAACAAAATTATCACCAATTTTGATAGATCCACCAATTGATTCTACACCAGAACAAATTCTTGAATATATTCTTAATCGACAAATATCAATATCACGTGCAAGTAAATATTTAGGTGGAATTAAATTAGATTATTTAAAATATTGTTTATCATATAAAATGAATTCATCACTTATGACTGGTTCATGTCTTATACAATTAAATAAATTTATGCAATCAAAATCAACTATTGATTGGTTACGTCATTTACGTTCATTATATTTTTGGTCGTGTGCTAAACAATTATTTTTAAGAGAAATTTATCAATTAACTGGTATAGTAACACGTAAACGTTCAATGAATATATGTGGAAATAATAATATGGGTTCAATAAGAAGTTGTGATCAACAATCACCTGTAATTTTTTGGACAGCTTTTGAAGATATTCATCTAATTCAATTAGATAATGAATCAATTATTGATGATAAACAATGGCATGAAGATTTTCAACAATATTTAATTGATAATGAAATTAATCATGAAAAAGTAAAAAAAAAATAAATACGAAAATATGACTCGTTTTCATTAATGAATATTTCACGTTATGGAAGTAAATGATTTAAAAAGAACAAATGAATAATGAAAATCTTAATTTGAGATGCATCGATAAACAGATCTAATAACTGTTAGGAATCATTTATAAAAGAACATTCATAAAAAGAAGGAGACGCAAAAAACCGGGTAGAGGTCAGACAAAGCGAGAAAAAGTTAAAACTTCGTACTTCAACATTTGAGTATCAGTGAAGTATTTGAGTTTTATTGTTAGATGGACTTATATAATATGAACTCTAACTAATGTAGTCATGGCACACGTTGATGGTAGATTTGAAATAGCTAAAAAGTTCTACAGGATAGCTTCGGCATCTCCTTAGAGTACGCTGAAGTACGGAATTTTCGCTTGTCTCTCTTAAGTCAGGCGTATCTGGACATTCGTGGAGACTTCTTTTTTTTTTATCGTTTTTTAAGTATTTTTGACGAAATTTTCAAGTTAAATTAGTTTTGATCAGCAATTTCTCAAAATTCTACGACACATCACATCTACAGATAAATCACATATTTTAATCGCTTAATATAGAAAAACAAAAACAGTACACTTGAGCAAATTAGCTCTTCCTAAAAATATTTTTAAAACTGGGCGTACAAGGGAAGAGCATCAAAAATTCGATTTTTACTTGAACATTATGGATAACTTCTTTATTATGTCGTAAAAATTCCGATCATCATGTGTATCTCATATGAACAATTATGAATCGATGTTGAAATATATTCCAAAAAAAAAACTGTTTAGATTTTAATTTATTTTATTGAATCTTAACATATGAATATCAACGAAAGTGATATTCTTCATAAGACTAAATAATCTTTTGAGATATATTCTATAAACAAACGTGAAACTTATATCGAACTTGTAAATTATTATTAAACCTCGATAAAATTATTTTTATTTAGGCTCAATTATGGACTATTGATACATTTGAATTTCCATTAACAAAAAATTCGACTATACTTCAATTACCTGAATGGAATGAATTACGTCCAATGAATTTAACACCAAAAGTAACTGTAATATATGCATTTTCTAATGATGGTCAATCAACTGAACCATATTTTATTTTTCCTAATACACTTCGAGATAATACAATAAATAATGAACAAAATTCATATAATGATTTAGGTCATTTAACACCACAAATATTTCTTTCTTGGATTGAAAAATATCTTATACAAAAAGGTAATCATTCTATTTCTTCGATTAAAAAAAAAACAAACAAAAAATTTTTAATATTTAGATCATTTACCAATTGTTCTTATATTTTGTTCTCGTTTACCTATATTATCACCAATAGTTTTATCTTCACTTGAACAATATAAAATCTATCCATTTGGATATCCATTTACACGTACATTACCATTTCGTTATTTATTTGAACGTCGTGTACGTAATAATCGTTCAACAAATTTAATGAGTGAATTATGGAAAAAAAAATTATTAGATGAACAACGTACACATGTATTAAAAGGTTTAAATTGTACAGTTAAAAATATAAAATATTATTTTGAACAAATATGGCCATTATTAATTACTGAAAAACGTGATGATGATGATGAAAATAAAACATTTAAAGATAAATGTCAACAAGCATTTCAACAAGCAAATATACAATTAATAATAAATAAAAAAGAAAATTTTTATGAAAAAAAACTTCAAATAATATCACCAAATAAAAATCAAAAGAAAATTATAAATACAAATGAAATTGTTGATCAACTTAATCATTTATTAAATGTTATTATTCAAGTTAAAGAACAAATTAATTCAACACAAATTCTTAAAATTAAAAATAATGATTGTAAGTTATTTCTATTAGTTATTTTAATAGATAATCTTAAGTTAAAAGATTAGATATAATTTAAAATTCAAAAGAAATTTCAAAGTTAATCTTAGAAAAATTATATAGAAATTTAATGATAAATAGAAATCATTCGAATTTATATAAAAATTTTCTTCAACAAAGAAGGAAGAACTTAATACAACATTACATTCTCTTTTAATTACTTTGATTCTATTATTTTTTATGTTCATTAAATTGAATCACAAAAAAATCTCATATTCATACTGTGTTTATCCAGAATGTGACCACCGAAACTATAGTCCAATGAAGTAAAAGTTCGATTTTAGTACATGTTCATATCACGTACTATTGTAATACTATGAGTAGGAGTTATAACATATAACAAAACTATTAAAAAAACAAAGATATCACACGCATTGTGAGAGTAACATTCATACTATATGAAAACAGATATTACCATATACATAAAAGTAACTGATGAAAATATTTATAGGAAGTAGATTTTGCTGTGCTGAGACCCACACTTTTCATCCTGCATTTTACTTGTAAAAATATCAAGTTTATTTATCTGATCATTTATTATATCAAAATCATCGATCACTAAAGTAGAAGATTTGACTAGTATATTATCGAAATGGAAGTTTTTTAAAAATATATCTATGAATAATACATCATGCAGATGTTCAATAATCTTCAAGCTAATGTTCCGTATATAAATCGAATATGTTTATCTCCAATATCATGTAAAAATCTTATAATGTATATTGTTTCAATTCTTCTCAGAGAATTATGAATATTACCAATAGGTGAATTCTATATGTCATAACACAAGAAAGAAAGAAAATATAACATCAAAATTTATTCCGAAACATACATATATTAGTATATATACAAATTGAGATGAAATTTCAAGTTATATAGTATAGATCAGACCTGTGTGGGATTAAGTTTTTTTGATCTTCTATAATTTCTAATAATTCCAGTTATGAACTCAGCAAATCTAATTCTAGTCTCGACTTTGATCTAAACAAAACCTATTCCAGAACTTATTCGAACACATTACAGTCTGATCCCGCATATCCCTCGTATAAATACAGGATGAGTAAAGAATTTTAATGGTAGATGTATGGTCAATTTACAATATATATATATATATGATAAACAGAAGAACGCATCAATCTGAAATGAAAATCAAGTTTTCACTTGGACTATTGTGTTCAATTAGTTTCTATAAACTACTGTGTAGTTAATGTTTACTTTAGTTTTCTAATTCGATACAGATTTCAATTCTTTAATAGCTATATACTAATTGTTTTTAATTTTTTTCTTTTTTATGTAGCATTAATTTCATCATCGAATGAGGCTTTAGAGAATATTAATCTTAGTCATTTATCATCAACATTACCTGAACAAATTCAAACAATAAATACAATCGAAATAAATAATAGTTCAATTTTAACATCAATTAATGATAAACGACCAAGTGATGAAAATGATGAACCACATACAATAAAACGTTTTCGTTCATCATTTTCACAATCGACTTATCCAACAACAACAACAACAAATATTATTCAATGGATTCCACCATCAAAACAATTAGTGACACATATACAATCTCAATCATCATCATTATTTCAATTTATTCTATCACTTGTACATATAATATTAAATTCAACTGAAAATCATCTTACAGATGAACATTGTTGTTGGTTACATAAAACAATTAATAATTATGATCATAATTATAATATTGATAAACTAAATCTTCTCATTGAAACAGCATGTATAGTAGTAAAAACAGATCTAGTCAGATAAATCATATATATATATATAGTTAAATATGTATTTAGATATTAAAGTAACAAGTCTTTATTTTATTTTTTTGGTCAGATTTTTTTTTTCGACCTTAGTTTTGAACGAAAGATTAAATAAGATATAAACACACAGAAAAGAAAGAGAATGGTTATAAATAAGAATTAATTATAATTCTAGATAATGTCAAATTTAAGAGATAAAATTTCATGGAAAAATTTAAAACAAATTTATGATACAATTGGAAATAATCTTAATCTTCGACAATTATTTTTTTGACGATTTTAAACGTTTTGAACATTATTCATTAGAAATTAATACACCTGATGGTCCATTTTTATTTGATTATTCAAAAAATTTAATTAATAAAGATATTTTACGAGAATTATTTTCTTTATGTCGAGAATGTCAAATTGAAGAACAACGTACAAAAATATTTCAAGGTGAATTAATTAATTTTACAGAAAAACGTGCTGTTTTACATACTGCTTTACGTACACCAAAAGATGGAAAAGAAGTTTTAGTTGATGGGAAAAATGTTTTACTTGATATTCATCGAGTTTTAGAACAAATGAAACATTTTTCTGAATCGATTCGAAATGGCCAATGGAAAGGTTATACTGGAAAAACAATAACAGATGTTGTTAATATTGGTATTGGTGGATCAGACCTTGGTCCATTAATGGTTACAGAAGCATTGAAAGTAAGTTAATAGTGTGTGTGTGTGTGTGTGTATTAGTAGTCATAAGATTGATGTTATTGAGTGAATTGTTCTTCTGAACCGTTAGAATTTAGCTAAAGATAAGAAAGGATTAAATTGTAAAGATATTCTAATGAATTTAAACATAATAATAATCAAAGAAAAAGACATATAAATGAAATATTTACATGTGATGATTATGTAGCATTGGTAGAAAGAAATTTTAAAACTCATATTACCATCTTTTAGCGTGTTCTGAAGAATGACTATTTAGATCAATTTTGGATGAGAACGTATGAATATTTTTTCATTAATGTTTTTTTAAATTAGGTCATAATCAATATTCTTCGATATTAGATCATAATAATTTTTACGAATTATTCATTAAGGTACTTCTATTTAACATGATGAAATAAGAGCTTTCGTCTCAAGCCGCATTTGTGTACCATTGAACCTAACGAGGTTATCATTTCAAGTAATAAATCGTTTTTGAGTTCAGACTCTATCTGTAAAATAGAATCCAGTGAAGTATAAAAACGCCAAAGCAAGAAATCCTCTTATGCTTTCTCTCTACACAGATAGACCTAGTCGAAAATAGGATGTTACTTTCCCAAGACATCGAAGTTTCAAAAAAGGATAGATTTTAGCACGTTTCGTGACATATGAAAGTTAAAAAATCTCGTGAAGGCAACATTATTTTCAGCTGAAATTTTCAAATAGGTCTATCTCTGAGCGAAATATCATTATTCGATTTATTGGCATATACCAGAGATGTCCATCGCGGCTGAAAAATTGTCGCTGCCACATTGGTTGTTAAAATAATACTTTGAATTTCATCCCTGAGACTGCTTTGAACTAGAACTATTGTCACTAACCGTTGCAATTCGTAGAGTCTAAGAGTGTTACATCTGCGGATACTAAAATTTTTTCTAAATCCATGCATTTTTGCATCGTTCTCGAGAAACTCTGCCACCGCTGCACCGCTATGGATATCTCTGGTATATGCCGTGACATAGGCTAAAATTCTAGTACAATAGCAATAATTCTAGAGGGTAGGCAAAAAAGAGCATCTCTTTTTTGACAGTTTTCATAGCTTACGAGGATCTATCTTATGTATACGGTTCGAACTCGAAAACAATTTATTAGTTGGAACAATTCTCTCGTAAGTCTATAAAAATCAAAATGATACTTCTAATAATTTCCATATTGTCCAACACTACTGTAATAATAAAAATCTTTCTCTTCATTACACGGCAAACTTTTTCAAGGATATTAATATCTTCCTATACTTGTCTTCTTTTTGTTTAACACTAGTAATACTACAATCATTATAAAATAATAAAGAAAAAGTTAATAAGCATTAATCTTCTTGTTTTATCTTTTAGCCATATGCCAAAAATGGTCCACATGTTCATTTTATTTCAAATATTGATGGTACACATTTATGTGAAACTGTATCAAAATTATCACCTGAAACAACATTATTTATAATAGCATCAAAAACTTTTACAACACAAGAAACTATAACAAATGCTGAATCAGCTAAAGAGTGGTTTCTTAATCAAGCTAAAGATTTAAAATATGTTGCAAAACATTTTGTTGCTTTATCAACAAATACACAAAAAGTAACGGAATTTGGTATAGCTAAAGAAAATATGTTTGAATTTTGGGATTGGGTTGGTGGTCGTTATTCATTATGGTCAGCTATTGGTCTTTCTATTGTATGTGCTATTGGTTTTGATAATTTTCAACAATTATTAGCCGGTGCTCATGCTATGGATAAACATTTTCAAGAAATGCCATTAGAAAAAAAATTTACCAGTTATTATGGCTATACTCGGTATATGGTATAATAATTTTTTTACAGCTGAAACACATGCTATTTTACCTTATGATCAATATATGCATCGTTTTTCAGCTTATTTTCAACAAGGTGATATGGAAAGTAATGGAAAATATCGAACAAAAGAAGGTAAACAAGTTGATTATACAACTGGACCAATTATTTGGGGAGAAGTAAGCAAAATGAATATCTTAAACGATAGATATGAGTAAGATGATTGCGGATCCCGGTGGAACCGAATATACTTCTTTGAAAGTAGTATTTAATTTTATATTTGATACATTCTATAATAGAGAAAGCATGATGAAGTTAGAGATGTGTCTATAGAAGATCCTACAAGTAATTTCAAAATTTTGAGTTCACACATATTTTGCCTATAAATAGAATTTCAATAGACTAATATAGTCTTCAAAGAATTCTACAAAAATATTTTTTAATTCTAGCCTGGCACAAATGGTCAACATGCATTTTATCAATTAATTCATCAAGGTACAAAATTAATTCCATGTGATTTTATAGCAACAATTGAAACACAAAATCCTATACGTGATAATCTTCATCATAAAATATTATTAGCTAATTTTCTTGCACAAACTGAAGCTTTAATGCGTGGTTTAACTGAAGATGAAGTACGATTAAATAATAATAATTCAACTGATCAACTTCTTATTTATCATAAAGCATTTCGTGGTAATCGACCAACAAATTCATTTATTTTGCCACGTATAACACCATTTACATTGGGAATGTTAATTGCTGCATATGAACATAAAATATTTGTACAAGGACAAATATGGAATATTAATTCATATGATCAATTTGGTGTTGAACTTGGTAAACAATTAGCTAAAGTTATTCTACCAGAATTAGATGCTAATCAATCGGTTACAGCTCATGATTCATCAACTAATGGTTTAATTAATTTTATTAATAAATATAGAAAATGGACACCAAATAATAAATAATTTATCACTTTCGACTTTCTTTTTTTTTAGTTTTAGTTTTAAATAATTTCAAAACTTTTCTTTCCATTTAAAAAAAAAATTTTTTTAGATGCATACATTTCATTCGAAAAATAGACAAAATGTTGCTTACCATGACTAATATATTACGTAATTACTTAGATAAGTTATTGCATAAAAAGGGCTAAAATCTCATAGAGAAATATTTAGTTATTTTTATTGTGCATTATTTTATATTATGCGTGATCTATAAATTTTGCTCACTATTTGAAATCATACATTCCCTTTTTAAAAAATTTATTTCATTTGTATTCTATTTTTTTTTGAACTTCATTTTATTAACTTTATTCATATCATTTTATTTTCTCTTTATATTAAATAAAAACTAGTTCATAGATCTATTCTTTGTTTTACTATTTTTAAAATATATATTTGAAATGAAAAACTCCCAATTTTGACCTAAAAACATTTTCTAACACTTGTTTCATATCCAGAAAACAATGAAATTTACGATTGAACATCGTCCTCAATAAATTTAATCAAGTTTTCTTCTTCTAGTAGAGAATATTTAAGCTAGTGTCATTGTCCGAGAATATCTTTCGTGATTTATCTTACATTAAAAACACTTTTATGAATATATATGACTAAATGTCAATCTAATAATTTTCGATATCTTGAGTAGAAACTAATTGTTCGTGACTTCTCCTTCTAATGATAAATAGTTTTAAAGAAATATTCATATAATAATAATGATTAAAATTTTGTTCCTTTTTTTTTGTTTTTTCGAAAACTATTTTACTAATTATTTAAATAGTTTTGAGAATTTGACTTGTTGCGTCTAATTACAACCAACGAAGAGATTCATCGATTAAAATGTTCTTACTTCAAAGAGTTTAACTAAACTGGACGCATGCACCAAATCCGAACATTCAAGTTCGATCTTGAATACAAATATTTTCAGTTAATTAATACATCTAGAGAGTAGTAGTAAACCCGGAGAAAGACTTTCACAGTTAGTTATAATAGTTCCACAGATAATGATGTAAGCGACCCAAAAACTTAAAAGCAGTAGACTTTCCCCAAAAGAAGTTAATGATGTTCGGAAATGTCCAAACTCGAACCTCTGGGTGCTTCCATAATCGTCGACATGCTTCAAGAACGGCTTGAACAACTATGTAAATACTCACCGTGGCCTAAACTAAACAAAATGAATATTATTTTTTGTTATTTTCGATTTGAATGAGCCATTTCAACAAAAATAAAACTCTACTATTCACATGAATCTTAAATCCTAAAAGAAGAAAAAACCTCTATCTAGAGTTTTGTTTCATATAATATATTCAATTTTTTAATGATTTTTAAAAGAGTTTTCTATATATTTTTAGATTAACATCATTCTTTCGAACTCAATCAATCAAAATGGTAGGATACATGAAAAAAAAAAAAACTTTTTTTTCTATGTTTCTTGAAATTTGATTATTTATAGAGACCCATTCTTTTACAAGCTCATGAACGTTCATTAACAAAAATTCGTTATAATCGTGAAGGTGATTTATTATTTACATGTGGTAAAGATAAAAATCCATGCGTATGGTTTTCAATAAATGGTGAACGTTTGGGTACATATAATGGACATAATGGAACAGTATGGACAATAGATGTTAATTGGGATACAACATCATTTGTATCAGCATCAGCTGATAGTACTGTTCGTATTTGGGATGTACAAACTGGACGTGAAAAAAATACATATACACTTGAAGCACCAGCACGATGTTGTGCATTTAGTTATGATGGAAATAATATTTTATATACAAATGATGATGTTATGGGTAAACCTTGTGAAATGTATTTGACTGATATTAGAATGAGACGTATGTTCATTGATGAAGAAAATTTTCATAAATCTCTTTTATTTTATTTTTTTGTGTTTAGCTGCTGAAGGTCCATCCGTTCGTATAAATGTTTCACACTTAGGACATCGTAAAATAACAAGTGCATTATGGGGTACATTAGATCAATTTATAATAACTGGTCATGATAATGGTGAATTAGTTCAATGGGATGTTAAAGTAATTTTCTTTTTAGGATTTTTTCTTTTTTTTTTATTTTGTTTTCATTTGAATTATAATTTAGAATCAAGAAGATGTACGCAAAGAAAAACCTCATCAATTTCAAATAATGGATTTACAAACAAATCGAGATTTAACATTTTTAATTTCATCATCAAAAGATTGCACAGCTAAAGTAAAGAATTTGAAAAAAGAAAGAGAAATATGGAAGAAATAATTTTGTTTTACAGCTTTTTGATGTTGAAACATTGGAACATTTGAAAACATATACAACAGATCGTCCTGTTAATTCAGCTGCTATATCACCAATTAAAGATCATGTTGTACTTGGTGGTGGTCAAGAAGCTATTGAGGTAAATTTCAAATATTTTCAATTCTTAAGAATATTCTTATTGTTTCGTTTTTTTTTTCTTTTAGGTCACACAAACTGCAGCTCAATCAGGAAAATTTGAAGCTCGATTTTTTCATTTAATATTTGAAGAAGAATTTGCACGAGTTAAAGGTCATTTTGGACCTATAAATACTGTTGCTTTTCATCCTGATGGCAAAAGGTTTGTTAATTGTTATGAAAAAAAAAGAATTTCTCTTACTTTTTTTTTTAATAATTAATATTTCATTTTTAGTTATTCAAGTGGTGGTGAAGATGGTTTCGTACGAATACATCATTTTGATAATGATTATCTCGATTATGATTTCTAAGAAATAAATTTTATTTTTTTTCTTGTTATTGCCAGTTATTATGTCAGCGATAAAAGAATAAAAATCATGGTCATCTAGTTTATCTTTTTCTATATATATACATGGAAAAGTTGTCCGCAAAATTGAAAAAAAAAACAAAACGAAGCTGCTTTCAAAAGAAATAAGAGAATTTTAATAATTAATTTTTGAAATTTTTGATGAACGAAAGACACTAACTATAATGCGTTATGGTTAGAGATGTGCGAGATCGGGATCGGAAGAAAAAAGTTTTCCCAATCAGAACTAAAGATTATAGTTAAATATTTTATAGTTTTTAGCTCATAATCTTATAAATTATATCAATTCGAACATAATTCACGAGCGATGCCCCAAAAAAAGTACTAGCCGTCGACTAAATAAATCAAAAAATGAATATTGAAGAAATTTTTAGACGTGATACGAATAAATTCTCGAATAGTTTTTTCTAGATCGAGATTCGAAAGACTAAAATCACCAAGACCTTGGTTAGATTTGATTTATCGAGGCCATAACCGGAGGGGATCCGAAAAACTGAATCCTCTTTACATCTATATTTATGTTTTGTAGAAAGAAGATGAGTGGGAAGACGCTTGAATCCTTCTTACTCTCTTCTTTCTGTAATAAATGAAAGTATTCATAAAGACCTTGTAGAATAAATTCAATGTTGATTAAAAAAATGTGTTTGATGAAATTTAGTAAAACAAATTCTAGCCTACTTCAAGTATCACTTTTCTTGATATCAATAGGATTTGAAAATGTGCATTTGTAGGATTATAGAGATTACATTAAGATTAAAAAAAAAAGAATGAAAACTTTTAAGAATATCCTATTGTAAAGGCATATATTGACAAAAAATGAAATTCTGTTATCAATTTTGAATTAATTCGAACTTTATTTCATTTGATTTGAATATGAGATTAGTTTTCTTTTTTTTTTCTGTTTTAGATTTTTATTTTGTTTTAATTAAATATTTAAAAAAACAACAAATACAATTTTTATCAATGTTATTAGAATATCAATGAATTATTAAATTTGATGATTTTTTTTTCTGGTATATTTACATTTTAAAATCTGTGATCAAAGCAAAAGATTGCTTTCAAAAAAGATTATCTCTATTTTCTATATTTATATGAATAATTTTTTGGTGAAGTAAAACAAAAAAATAATATGACTGGCACTAAAAATAGAAAAAATCATTCACTTCCATCAATATCATCAAATCGTAAGATTAAAATTAAAATCAAACCATCAATAACTAAAACTTCAACAATTCATCGTCGATCTCAACGACGTCGAACAGTAATATATAAATGAAAATTTTTCTTTTTTTTTTTTTTCTTAAATTCTTTTTCTTTACTTTCTTTATTAGAATGTTCTATCATCAACACCAAGTAGTTCATTATTATCAATGA